CGGGGGGGGGGGGGGCTGGCGGCTTGCTGCATTTGGCCGGGCGCGGCCCGTGGCTTGCCGCGCCGGGGAGTGGAGCCATTTGCCCACCCCTGCATTAGGGTGTGCCTGGGCACACCCGGCACACCCCGTGCGCACGCCTATGAACCTCACCTGTCCTTTGGAGTTGATCAGGGCGGTACGCAGGCTGTCTCCAGAGCCCCAGGAACGTTGGGCCTTCCACACCATGTCAGTGGGAGGCCTATGGGTGGCGCCCGCTCCAGAGGCCCAGATCTAAAAAGGAACAAACAGAGATCGGTAGCACCCCATGCCAGCAGCACCAACCTAACATACCTCCCCATGTGGGTCTCTGCCCCTGTCTAGCAGCTGCTCCACATAGGAGGATAAGAGTCCACTACAGCTGCTATCTATAGGAACTGCTCCAGTAGCTGCTGTAGGTTCCAGGCTCAAGCCCCCATGTTGGACTGCTGAACTGGGGGTGGGGTTTCGCTACTATCTAAACTGCAAGGCATGGGTGCGAGGGAGAAGGGCTTAGAAACCTGTGGGCAGGATCTGAACCTGCACAGGGGCATTTGGTGCTGCACTAGGCTTCTGCTCACACTGGAAGAAATCCCACAAGAGTCGCTGGCATGGGCTGATTTCTGCCATCCTTGGCTAATATCTGGCAATGTTGGCTGGTCCTGCACACAAACGGGAGATCAGCCTCCCCTCCCGCCCCCCATCCCATCTGGGTGTTGTATCTCAGCTAGAACCGGAGTCCAAGGAGCTGCAGTCCCCCATCCCTCCCCAAGGGGGACCTCTATGGCCATTCTAACAAGGGGACCAGAGATAAGATGTATACGGGCTCAGAGGGGCTGGATTTGCTCTGCTCTTCAGGAGGGTGGGACCCACGGCTCTATCTCCCAGGGGTGACTCCAGAGTGACAAATGCCAACGGAGAATGGTGTATCAGCTCCCCAGGGCACTAACCCTTCATTAGCCCCATGCGAGGGCAGTTTGTTACTCACCGTGACCACCTGGCCGGCCCTCAGGGTGAACTTGGGAGGGAAGCGGTAGCTGATGGGGGCCTCATCTCCATTCTGACGCTTGATCTGCCAGTTCCCCATCGCCTGGTCCTGTGTAACAGAAGGCAGAGGCCTTGAGAAACGAACCTTCAAAGTTTTTCCGGTTTTGTCTTCCCCTGGCTACAAGCCCTGTGGTTAAGGGACTGAACTGGGACTCTGCCACAGACCCTCTCACCTTCAGCAAGTCACTTCAACACCCTTTGCCTCAGTTTCCCCATCTTCTGCTTGTATCCCTTTCCCCACCCTTTGTCCGTCTTTTCGGGGCAGGGACTGTCTCTCACTATGTGTATGTACAGCTCCCAGTACAGTGTGGCCAGTGGTCTCCAAAGTGGGTGCGTGCACCCCAGGGGTGCACAAGAGGATCCTTGGGGGTGCGTGGCAGGAAGAGCGTTTTTTTTGCTTCAGCAAAAATGGTAGAGCCGGCGCAGCAGGGGTGCGTGCTCAAATTTTTTTTACTGATAGGGGTGCGCGATCAAAAAAGTTTGGAGACCACTGCTCTAGGCCCTTCGTTGACAGTGTTGTCTAGTGGTCACAGCACTGGACTAGGACTCAGGAGACCTGGGTTTTACTCCCAACTCAGACATTAATCTCCTGGGTGACCTTGAGCAAGTCACGGCCCTGTTCTGTGTCTCAGTTTCCCCCAGCTATAAAATGGGGATAATGATACTAACCTCCTTGCAAAGCGCTTTGAGATCTGCTGATGAAAAGAGCTAGGGACTGCTACTAGCAGGCCTGCTTCTGAAGGAGGCAGACCCGTACTCCTACTTGATTCACCTAATGTTAAGGCCTAGGAGATCTTTGTTTTATTCTAGCAGATCTTGGACGTGAGTATCGGGCAGAGCAAAGTCAGTTCCATGCCTATACTGCCTTTCATTCTAAAGCATCCCAAAGCGATTTTCAAGCCACACACAATAGCAACTACAGCAGCTGCTAAAATGCATCCACCTCTGGGGTGGAAATCATGGGACACAGCAGCTGTCTCACAGCTCCCAGAAGTGCTGCAGCAGTTTGGGGACAGGAACTGAAGAGCCACCAAATGCACTTAGAACTGCCGGGGAAAGCTGGGGGACAATGTGCTATTCGCCCAATACAGAATTCAGGCCGGGCAAACCTGATTCTTGCAAACAGACCCATAGGATTACCATGAGTCTGCACTGCTCTGGGACCAGATGTAAATTAGCGTAGGTCCGCTGACTTTAATGGAGTGAGGCTGGTTTACCTCGGCTGGGGATCTGACCCCATAGATTCCAATCACAGCACTCCTTGTTTGCCCAGTAGGTAGGGCCGACCCGAGGGGAAGGACACTCAGGAACTACTGGACACTCAATAACAGACTTAAAAGTGGCCATTCTTCAACAAAACAACTTCAAAACCAGACTCCAACGAGAAACTGCAGAACTGGAATTCATTTGCAAACTGGACACCATCAAATTAGGCCTGAATAAAGATGGAGTGGCTGGGTCCCTACAAAAGATAATTTCCCTCTGTTGATACTCACCCCTTCTTGTCAACTGCTGGGAATGGCCATATCCACCCTAACTGAATTGGCCTTGTAAGCACTGATCCCCCACTTGGTAAGACAACTCCCATCTTTTCAGGTACTGTGTATATATACCTGCTGCCGTATTTTCCACTCCATGCATCCGATGCAGTGGGTTTTAGCCCACGAAAGCTTATGCCCAAATAAATGTGTTAGTCTCTAAGGTGCCACAAGGAATCCTCATTGTTTTTGCTGATACAGACTAACACGGCTACCCCTCTGAAGAACGACATGGTTTCCCTCCAGCTACTGACCCATCCTGACCCTGCTCAGGGATGACCAGCATCACTACCAGGAAATCTACCTTGTTGGACTTGTTCCTGAGACGGACAAATTTCCCTTCCAAGTCAACCTCTTCCACGGCCACATGGCCTCTGGTCCTCGCGTGTTGGGAGAAGCTCGTCCGGCGCTCCCCGTCCTCCAGCTTCCTCTTCTTGGAGGAGCACGGTGTGGTTGAACAGCTGACGTGGCTCTTGTAGCCCCGCTTCTGGGACCTGGAGCTTGGAGACCGCCCCAGCCTTGGGAAAGAGAGAGAGGAAGTGAGTGCAGGCTGGTGTCAGGGCCTAGAATCTCTAGGGCGCTGGCCGATCCGGGCCTGGTTAGAAGCGACAGAGGGGACACAATCTCTTGGCTGCTTGGTGACCTGCAGACAGAAGCCACTACCTCATGGGACGTCCCCTGAAGGACACGTCTCCAGCACAAAATCCCTCCCCACCGCTTCCCCCCAACCTCTCGGCAGAGACGCCAAGGACTGAACTGGCTGTGGTGGACGAGCAATGGGGCTGGGAGCAGGGGTGAAAGGAACTTACAGGACTTACCGGTACTGCCGGAGTCCTGAGGGGGCGTGGCCTCACCCAGAAAAGGCGTGGCCTCAACCAGAAGAGGCGGGGCCTCTCAAGACTTAAAGGCCCTGGGGCACCAGCTGTGGCTGGGAGCCCCAGGGCCTTTAAATCAACCCAGGGCTCCCAGCTGCAGAGGTGGCGGGGAGCCCCCGGGGCTCAGGGGCAAATTAAAGGGCCCCAGGCTCCAGCCGCGGAGCTCTGGGCCCTTTAAATCCCGACCCCAGCCCGGCAGCCGGACTTGGGCGTGGATTTAAAGGGCCTGGAGCTCCTGCGGCTGCGGGGAGCCCCGAGCCTTGCCGGGCTGGAGCTGGGATTTAAAGGGCCCAGAGCAACAGCGGGGAGTCCAGAGCCCTTTAAATCCCTGCCGCGGAAGCCGGTGCGGTCCGGCCCGGTGTACTGGCTCTTGCCGGTACGCCAGACCGGACCGGACCGGCTTACTTTCACCTCTGCCTGGGAGGCTCATCAGCAGGGCAAGGGGACAGGCCTGCCCAGATGCTGCCTGTTCCTCAGAGAGGAAGTTCAGCCTCCGGGGTCACCAGTTGCGGGGATACGGGCGACTGCAGGGAGCTCAGCTCAGCCAGTCTCCATTCCTGGCCAGTCCATCACGTCCCGCTCTGAACCACCGGACTCCCTGTCCACCTGAGCTCCCGGATGTGCCCCCGTCCCTCACCAACGCCCTAAAATCCCCATCCCTGCCTGGATCCAGGCTCGGCACCTGACTGCCCCAGCACCTGGGAGGCTCCGATCATGGCGGGTGGCCAGGGGGGAAACAGACTTTGTGACTGGCTCCTGTCTCTGTAACAGGCTGGGCCAACACCCCTCCCTCAACGGGGCAGGTGGGATCCAGGCGAGTAACTTGAGTCCATATCCCACCCCCCAGTTGGCCCATCACTGCAGCACCAAACCCCTTCACATTAGGGTCAGGTCAATGCAACCAGGCCTGTGTTAATAACCCATGCAAATCAGGTATGTTCTCCATTCGCCCTGCCCCCATTGGCACATCCTCCCATCCATCAGGCTCCTCCCCACCTCTCCTTTGCCACGCCTCCATCAGGCTTCTCCCCCTCCTTGGCCACGCCCCCAACAATCACCTTCCCCCACCCTCGGCATGATGCCCCCACCCCATCAAGGAGCCTTTCTCTGCACCCACCTCTCCTCCTCTCCCTCCAGCAGCTTGCGGTAGGCCTGGATCTCTATGTCCAGGGCCACATTGATGTCCAGCAGCTCCTCGTACTTGTCCACAAGCTCCTGGTACTTGTTCACCTGCTGCCGCAACATTAACCGCATGTCCTCGATCTCCTTCTCCTTTTCAATCCGGATGCGCCGGCTGGTCTCCCGCTCCTGGACCAGCTTCACCTTCTTGGCCTCCAGCTGTGGCCAGAGGAAAGGGGGTCAGGCAAAGAACAAGCAGCAGAAGGTGCCCCTCGCTACCAGGGCCATTGGCCCCTTAGACACAGACATGTCACCTTCTCTTGGGGTGAACGTCCAGGGCCACTGAGCCATTACACAGCCTGGACTATTACTAGACACGGTCCTGCCGGCTTGTGGCCCTTGAGAGAGACGTCAAGCTTCATGCCGAGTGGAAGTGGATAAGAGGCCCCTACGGAACCTGCAGCCAGCCTAGAGCTGTTGGGGTGGGATTGGAGCTGGACAATCAAGGCCAGCTCCTCTGCTGGCATAAAGAGGCCATTGACAGGACTGCAGCCAGCAGAGAATTGGGCCCTTGAGCATCTCCCACCCTTTGAATGCCACAGGTCCCAGAACCAGAGCTCCGGGCCTGGCCTCTCCCTAGTTCTTATAACACACATTGTGGAAGGTTTAAGACTAAGCTAGATGGTGTAACCAGCAGTGGGGCAGGCAGCCCCCTGGTTTTCCCCATCTGGGTGCAGCAGGTGAATGCACATTTCATGGCCACTGCTGTCACGCACCTGCTGGGGATGTTTGCCCGTGACAGACGTCCCAGGGCCCAGCTCTGCTGCAGCCAAGTGCTAGCCAGAGGATTGAGGGAGGCTGGGGGGTGTTATGCCCATGCTCCCTCCAAACCTGCCCATCCCTCCCCATTCCTCCATGCCCGCAATCATGCCAGTGGAGGTAGCAGTGCTGCCCCTAGCCAGTACCGGATTTACCATGGCGCCAGGCCCACAGTCCAAAGCCCCCCCCGCCTCCCCCAGATCCTGGGGCTCCTGTTGCACCAGGGCAGGCTCTGCCGGCAGCCAAGCTCCTCCCCCACCTCTTCCCTGGAGGATGCTATGTTCCCTCCCCTCCCCCCTCCCTGCGGCCGATCAGCTGTTTGCCAGCAGGAGGGAGGGGAAGCTGCTC